TTTCCCTCTCAAACCCTAGCTCGGATTTAGGCGATTTGGAGGAGTTTCGAAAGGGTTTGCATCGGAATTTTGTGCACTGCAGCGAAGGAGATCGTTCTCTTGCAGATTCAGGAGTTGTGCAGCATATCAGAGGCGAGTAACATCTCGACCAGCCCTATACCCACTGTTTGTATAATTTTTATTGAGTTTTAATTCGGATTTTTGAGCCTAAAACGTATTTTGTGTATAAAGATAGATTCTTTATAATATGGGTTGCAAGATTTAAATGTTTCAGTTAATAAAAAAACTCACCAACGTTTGTAATGTAGATCCAGATCTGGAATTAGATTTAAACATGGGTTTTCTTTGAGATTTATCGATTTCAATACGTTTTTAAACATGTATAAATATGTTTAGGGTTTTAATGTAAGTAATTATATGCAAAATTTTCGTTTTAGTTTGGTACATATATGTAAGAATCATATTTATATTGCTAGAATTGATGAAGAGGAACTTTAGGTTGAATTTTTTTTGCAGATAATCAATGTATGCAGAAAACTGGGAATTTTCTGCTCAGTTGACCAATCAGTCGACTTATCAGCCGACTTATGAGTCGACTGATGAGTCGACCAATGAGTCGACTGACGGGAAATTTACAGTTTTCCTTTCTGTTTGTCTGGTCAACCAATGAGTTGACCTATGATCCCAATCGACTCATGAGTCGACTCATGAGGAAATTTCTAGTTTTTCCTCAGTTTGGATCTGTATGGGTTGTTTCGTTTTAACCGAAACTGTTTGGACATGTTTACTATCATTGTGTGCTTCTATGTGAAAGAGGAGTCGCCTCAAATATCTGATATTATAAATTTATGTTTATTTTGTATCTCTACATGTGAGATGACTTGCGGACACGAGTTTAGATTTTGCACACCAAGACACGTGTGACATTAGTGTATATGCGTCTTTTCATATATTTCATTTAGTCCATGTATTGGACAATTATTATGTAGTCCATGTGTTGGACATTTATCATATTCAGTCCATGTGTTGGAGATTCATTTTTCAGTCCATGTGCTGGACAAATTACATATGCAGTCCATGTGTTGGACATTCACTACATCTAGTTTTAGTCCATGTGTTGGGCACCCGTTAAACCTTGAGTATGACTTAAACTTACATAGGCTGGACATGGCACTTATGTGGGTTGTGACAGGACATAGTATTTAAGTTCTGAGATGGATTTGTCTTCTTTTTATTATTGTTCCTGTATTAGATTCTGGGTTTGGTATTTAGGAATTTACAATTTAAGATACAATGTATATACATGAGGGTTTCCTTGTTTGGATTATTTCGCTTAACGTACCTATGCTCGTGTTGAAATTTCCTAAATACTAAAATCCTCTTATAGTTAGGGATTTACAATTTGAACTACAAGGTATATACATGAGGGTTTCCTTGTTTGGATTATTTCGCTCGACGTACCTATGCTCGTGTTATAATTTCCTCTTATTGTTAGGATAAATGATTTTATGTATATATGTATTAACTGTATATTCTGTATATAACGAGCCCTCTCCCTTGGGGTTGGTTGTGATGTTGCTCACTAGCGCTTTGACGCTCGTTGTCCCTCCCCTTTCAGGTAACGAGCCAGGTGCCCGGAGAGTCGCAGGTTGACGGCAATGCACTTTAGTGATTCAGCTGTCTACTTTAGTTATATTTTTTCTTTTGAGCTCCACTGTAGACTTTTGATTAGACATTTGAGGATTTTATTCTAGAAGTCGTAAAGACTGTGTGCCTTATTTCCTCTTATTCAGACATTTTATATTTGAGACTTGTTGAGAACTCTAGTTTATTTACTTCAGACATTGACTTTGTGATAATCATGTTTTATTACAATTTTATACCCTCATTATCTATTTTATATGAATAAATATGCCACTAATAAATGTTTTTATCTTTAAATACAGGTTAATGAAGAATAAATCTCAAACTCTCATCTCTCAACAAAAACCCATTGATTAAATGAAGAAATAAAACAAAGAAGCCCATTGGAAAATTAATTTCCAAATTATCCAAAAGCCCAAGAAATGCCAAAGCCCAAACAAATGCATGAAGAAATCAAGAAATTGTCCAAGGCCCAAGCCCAAGAACAAACCCAAGAGGAATCTGCGGACAACAACCAGAGACAAGTTCACATCGATGCCAGCATCGATGGGGGCATCGATGCCAGCATCGATGGGGGCATCGATGCCCGTATCGATGCCAGCATCGATACCATCGGCCAGTTTGTTACGAATCAAAGGCTGAAATTTGTTATTTTTTGGATAAGATTTCAATCCAATGGCTCTCATTCACTGATGTTTACTATAAATAGGGGTAGAGAGTGAGGGGTTAGAGGTGTGAAAATTTTTGTAACTCCATTTGGAGAGGAAGACTACTCTTAATTGAGAAGGCCTTCCAAAAATTATAACTTTTGTTGCAATTAATAATAATAATTTTTCTCCACTTTAAATTTGTCTTTTCTCCTCTTTGTTGAATGATGAGGATGGAGATGAAGAGAAATTTGAAGGTTTGCATTTCTTTTATTTTCCTCTTTTATTTCTTTTTAGT